TTAGCAATAGATGTTGTCTTTAAGAGTTTAAGAGTTTTAAGAGTTTAAGAGTTTTTAAGAGTTTTAGCCAAATGCTTTATAATATAGTATAGATATGCGTGTGTGTGTGTGTATGTATGTATATATATATATATATATATATATATGCGTGTGTGTGTATGTATAGAGAGAAATGTTCAACCGAGAACACTAACTATTTAAGAAAACTGAAAAAATGTCGTTAATGTACAAAATCACATGTGATTTTACATTAACGTCAAAAAATAGAAGCGTACAACTTTTGAACTTATATGATTTTTTACGTGAACATACATATATGTGTGTGTGAATCATGTATATGTATGTACACACACACACACACACACACACACACACACATATATATATATATATATATTATGTATGTAGGGGAGCGTTCAAATAAAAACCACCCAATTTGTACAAACCGTGAAAACCTCATTCAACCAATCATAATTTTTCATTTTGTTCATTTTTTTGTAATTATGAGATGTTGATTAACCATTTTTATTGTGGAGGGTGTTAATCATGGATATTATCATCTTCAGTATTTTAATTTTAGAGAAATACATGAAACAGTTTCATTAAAATTTAATTAAATATTATATGAAACAATTTCATAACCATATATGAAACAAATTCATCAAAAAAGGTATTATATCAATTTCATGAAAATTTTTCATAAGATTAAACAATGAAATCGACGTATGAGGGTGGTTTGTACGGTTTGTACAAATGAGGGTGRTTTTCATTTGATCGCTCCTCTATGTGTGTGTGTGTGTGTGTGTGTGTGTGTGTATGTATATATATATGCACACTATATTATAAAGTATTTGATAAAAACTCTTAAAATAAATTTTTTATACATGAAGTACTGTTTATTGATGCATATTACTTAAAATTCAAGATTACAAGTAATTGTGCGTAAATACAACTTATTAAAGCTCCATGCTTGAATTCGTGTAACTAACTGTATAGAAACATAATTAAATACATGATAAATATTTTGTTTTAAATATAAAAAATTTAATTAAAATAATCATTATGTTATAACATAATACTTAATTATTATCTTTAAAAAATTATATTATTAAATAAAAACATTGAATTAAATAAATTACATAAAATATAATAACTTTTAAATAGTTATTTGATACTAATATAGATATATCATTTTCAAAAATTTATGATATATTCAAATTTATATTTTATTCATAAATAAAACATTTCATTTTCTCAAAACCACAAAAAACCGTATAATACCATCGACATGAACAAAATAAAACGAAACATTAAAATTCAGATGTATCACGCTGAATTGCGCGAGTATCCTTCTAGTATATACATACATAGGGGGAGGTTCATAGAAAAACCTTAAAAAATGAAAAACTGAGGAACGCTTTAATATGCGTTTATATGGACTGTATGCACATGTGCATATAAGTAATTGAATTTGTTTATTAGTTTTATGTACTTGTGCATACCAGACAAATTGCTTAGAAATTACTTGTATACATGCGCATACGGTATAGATGAACGATTATCAGAGTGTTTCTCAGTTTTTTTTTAAGGTTTTCCCCTAAATCTGACCCTATATGTGTGTGTGTGTATATGTATAGGGAAGGGTTCAAACGAGAACCTTTGTGATTTGCGAAAACGCGAGAACAACCTATTAAACTCATATTGTGATAACAATAAAAATTAAAAGATTTTTTAAATTAAAAATGAAATTAAAACAATTCAAAAAAAATTCAGAGGCAAAAGGGTAATATTGGAATTCAAAGTGGTAAAATTTTAAAAACACGATCACACTAAAACCGATAATCTAGATAACATAATGGACTATTATGGTTATCGCTTATTTCAATACGATTTGGGTGTGATATGAGTGTCATAATCATGTGATTATCACACAATTGTCACAAGGATTCCGCTCGGCTAGGGTTAACTTAGGAAATCGACTACCGATTTGGTGTGATAATCATGTGATATCATTATCATAACAGCGCACTCGATTTGATCATGGTTTCGATCGGTTAGGGTTACACAATCACACATTTATCACAACGATCATTCATGGTTTCGATAGGTTAGGATTAGACAATCACACATTTATCACAACGATTACGGGCGAAATCAACTAAACGATTTGGTGTGATATGAGTGTGGTAATCATGCGATATCACTATTATAACATCACTTGCGCACTCAATTTGATCTTGGTTTTCGATCGGTTAGTGTTAGACAATCACACATTTATCACAACGATTACTCATGGTTTCGATAAGTTATGGTTACACTCGATTGATCATGGTTTCGATAGGTTATGGTTACACAATCACACAATTATCACAAGGGAAGAGAAGAGAGTGAAAACAAACGTGATCAATCCAGAAAAAAAAGGATAATTATAATTAATTAAAATAAAATGAAAATTATAAAAATTACTTAATTACATTATTGCTCTTATTAATTTATTTATATTTAATATAAGTTAATTTATTAACTAAAAAAGTTTGAGGTTATTGGGTTGTTCTCACTTTCTTTTAAATCACAAAGATTCTCGTTTAAACCTCTGTGATATGTTTTAAAAAATAAAACTGATAAAATTCTAATGGATAGAATCAAATTGATTCAATTATTTATTATATTAAATGATAAAATTCAACATCTAACAGATAATCGAATCGGATCCACCTGAATTCCAGTCGATAGATACCCCTAACAAAATATTTTAGTATTTTTATTTTAAATAAAATATAAGTTGTTTTGAGAGTTACAAAATAATATGATGTAGAATTATTAAGAGACTATGATTTGATGCATAATGAAAATGCCCGTTTAAGAATTGTTTTGCATGGATAGTATAAATAACAGAAGAAAATTACCATTCTATCGTTGTATACGATTTAACGTTTAGAGGGTGAAAAATGAGCCGTGCCGAGCCGAGTTCTAGGTTATTTGAGCTCGGATCGAAACGATAATATCAGGCTCGAGCTTGAATATTTTTTCAATGTTTGAGATCGAGATCCGTTTATTACTCAAGCTCGAGGATTTTTATATTTTGATTATATAATTTGTGAACATATATAGTATGTTTGACTCGAAAAAGTATATGCTCGAATGACTCGGTTCACTTCGACTCGACTAAAACATTGGTGTTATGAAACTCAAGTTTTTTGGTTAAACTTTAAAGCGGGCTTTTATACAAAAACATGTTAGACCTATGTTGGGATGCAAAATCCTTGTAACCCAACCCAAATACATAGAAAGCCCATTAAATTTCACCCTACAAGCCCAAAACTGAGTCAGCAGTCGGCCCAGTCCAAGAATCCGAAGAGTTCTCTCTTACGGTTATTGGTCCGTCACCAATTACCCTGACCCACATGTCACCCAGACAACTCCCTCTCCCGACCTTCCTCAATTTACAATTACACCCACGACCCAACAGCTAACAAGAAATCTGAAGAAGGGTATTTTCGGAACTCTATAAATAATAGAAACCCCAATACAAATATCATCCACCCACAAAAGTCTTCACCGACTAGATCTTTCCCCACAGACACCACCACCCCTCTCTCTTTCTTGCTTCAAATCCCTCTCCACAAAAACCTATAAATCATCATCTCTTCATATAAAAGATCGCCCTTTTCAAAATTTCACCGTTTTTTGTTCATCCTTTGATTTCATCCTATCTTATTATTCTTAATCTGTTGCAAAATTGGAGCAAAATCAAGGGAGATTTCATACCCTAAAAAGGTCTAACACATGATTTCGTTTGTTGCTTAATCCAAAAATGGTTTGTTTTTTATGAATCGAAGTGTTAACTGTGGTAATTTATTGAAGACCGAATGATCAGTTGGTATTGAAGCTATTGGCTTTTCTTCACATTCAATAAGACCTAATTTTATAACTCGTTCTCATAATTTTTTAAAGAAAATGGGTAAATTCTCTGTATAACGTTGGGCGAAAAGTGTGGGGATATAGTTTAGTTGATACTTGGTATCTGAGTGTTTCAATTTTAACCTTAATTTTGTTTGATTCTGAAGAGCGGCGGAGGGTTTCGGTTTAAAACAGTAAAGGGATCGAGGAAAGGATTTATGGCAGATCAAGTGTTGGAGGGTAGCCAACCAGTTGATCTCTCCAAGCACCCATCTGGAATCGTTCCTACTCTTCAGTAAGTAGTTTTGCCATTCCTGTTGTTAGAATCATCATCATCATCATCATCATCATCATCTCCCATTGTTTGGTTATTCAACATGTTTATTTGCGTGTATAAATCATAGATTCATCATTTTATATTGGTGAATACGTTTAGATGTCCGATATATGTTTCAAATATCAGGTCAGACTATTTTATTTCATGGTTTGGGGAAACATTGAAACTATGCTCATTCATATAACAGTCCACCGGTTAGGATGCTCTTTACCAGTAAACTGAAAGTTATATTGTCGGAAGCATAATTGTCAAAATCGTACAGTAAGATTTGATCGACGAATCCCTAATGGAATATGGATCATCATCATATTGTGTATCCTCCTCAAATATCTGTATAGATTGTATTGTACAATCGTATAAAGTTTGCCCCTAGAATTCCTTATCCATGTTCTTGTGGATGTATGCATAGAATTTATTGATGCAATACCCTTGTGTGGCCACATGATTATAAAGGATCTTTTTGTTTGTGTATGGTCTAGTTGTAGCAGATGGTCAATGGACAAGATGTTGTTCTGGTGATTAGTCAAGTATATTCTACTTTGTACATCACCTGAAGGCTTATTTTATTTGTTTTGGCCTTTTTTTATAGTGATTGCTTATAATAAAGTCAAAGCATTTATGCTATTCAATTGGTTTCATCTCATGGTACTTAATTCATGAAATTTTTATGGGGATTATTTGTTCGGTCATGAGTTGACAGCCATTCTTGAAATGCAGATTTGATCCCAACTCAAATTGTATTTCTATGGATCGAAAGTCAAAATGTATTTCTATCTTCAGGACAGAGGAAGTAATTCCTACTAGCGAAAAAAGATCTTATATACAATAAGAACTTACAATTTACTTTTGGCTTTTGCCTTATATGAGTTCAACCCTTGTGATTTTCTGCTGCTATATAGTGAAATTAATCTTGCATTTCACATTCAGTATATTTTGGTTTAGAATGGGGTAGTCTATAATGTTTGGAGCTAACATTTGCATTTATTGTATTGAGCCAATCGTGTTCTCGAGTGATGGATATCTGCTATTCTTGATGTGGTGTTGCTAATGAACAGTAATTCCCTGTACATCTAGGAACATTGTGTCTACTGTCAATCTTGATTGCAAGCTAGACCTCAAGGCAATTGCGTTGCAAGCTCGCAATGCAGAATATAATCCGAAGGTACAAGCTTTTTGTCATGCTATAGATTTACTTGTGTTGATTGTATAGCTAGTGGCGCCTCTAGGGGTGTGCATAAGTTGGTTTGAACTAAAAATTGAAAGCCAAAGTGAATACAGTGATAATGGTCTGGTTCTTGGGTGTTTGTCCCACATTTTTTGATTGTCAATTATATATTCATTTATTATTAATATTTATTATTCAGCGTTTTGCTGCTGTAATCATGAGGATAAGAGAACCAAAAACGACGGCCTTAATCTTTGCTTCTGGGAAAATGGTAAGTTGCTTTTTCCCCGGGTCTAATGTTGTACAAATACTATTATCTCACTAATTTCGTTTACTTCTTATTTGAGATCCATCTCATTGAACTAGCCTCTATTCTTCTTTACAATGTAACAATGCTGGTTTTGTCAGAATCACTATTTTCTAGTAATTGAATCATGAATTGCATCATCTTTTGATATTTAATATTGATTAGGCAGTTTAAAGGCTTAAGAACTCTTCTTCATTTCTGGTGGTATGCGTGGATTTTGCAGAAGATTTTGATGTTTTACAAGATCAATTTCCGAAGATTTTATAACATCAAAGTTTGTTACCTTATAATTTGATGAATAAACATGTATGTAAGATAAACATGATGTGGACATGTCTCCAAGTTTTATAATAGCATGGAAATTGATGTGCCTAATGCATGAATAAGAAGAGATAAAAGGTTTGATGAGTCCGCAATGGATACCGACTAGTTTTAATATCTGATCCCTTTACCGATGACTATTGTGATGCTGCTCCAGGTATGTACAGGAGCCAAGAGCGAACAGCAATCGAAATTGGCGGCACGGAAGGTCCTTCTAGAGCATAACCTCTATTCTATATATTAACTTTGTCTCTCATATGTTTACTTAATACTCCCTCTGTTTCATGAATACCGGAAAATGTGACTAGCCACATAGGTTTTTGAAATTGTTTTGCCAGATTTATTTAGGAGAATAACCTTTGACAGATTTTAACAAAATGCATGACATTCCGACAGATTTTGAGGCATTCTTGTGATAGAAAAGACTGATTTCTTAAATTCGTCAGAAGATCATGCAATTTTAAAAAAATCTGTCAGAAGGTTATTCTCCTAACTAACTGTTGTGTTGCTTATAGTAGTCAAATGCCTTAGAATACCCTCGAAAAAATGAGGTAATCTCATTGACCAAAATTGACACCGTCAGTTTTTTTTAACAATGAGAATGGGTATATAGGAATTCTAGCCTTAAACTTCGTCAAAAGAGAACTCTTAATTTTCATCCCGACATTTCAAAGTGGAAGTTCTTTTTATATAATGGAATAATGGTACTAGTGATTACGAATCTAAAGAACTCTATGTGAACATTGCAACATAACCATTGTGTCTAAAAACATTTTGCCATCAATTTTAGTTCTTTCTTTGTCCTTATCTTCTTGTGCTTAATTTCGGTTCTTCAGTATGCCCGGATTATTCAGAAACTTGGGTTCCCAGCCAAATTTAAGGTAACCACTAACCATCTTCTTGTACCTCCATCAATCTAACTATTCATATATCATATCTCTCATTTGCTTCATTTTTATCAATACATAACTTCAGTTTTATGCCTTTCAGCCATTTAACACAATCTTATGTTATTTATGATGGCTTTTAGGATTTCAAAATTCAGAACATTGTGGGCTCATGTGATGTAAAATTTCCCATTAGACTTGAAGGCCTCGCATACTCTCACGGTGCCTTTTCAAGTGTGAGTTGATAGGAGAATGTTCCGTTTTCTATACAATTAGGCCATCTTTGGCAACCACAAACTAGCTTATTGAAAAATCCCCGTTTGGTTAGGCATAAGCTAGCTTTTTCCCTTGTTCAATATGCTCGAGGGGCTTTTTGCCATTTTTTCCAGTTGTCCCCTATATTTTTTCATCATCTCTCTTTAGGTCATTTTACATTATCATCTAGCTTATCAACCATTTTTTTACCAAATATGACTGTTATTAGCCAGGTTATCAGCCAACTAGGTTATCAGCTAGTTTGCCAAACGATAAAACAGACCAAAAGCTATGAGCCCATGTTGGCTAATCTATCTACTTTGTTATGCTTCACACTCGTGTCTGTTTTTGTTTGTACAGTATGAACCAGAACTGTTCCCTGGACTTATATATCGGATGAAACAGCCAAAAATCGTTCTGCTTATTTTTGTTTCTGGGAAAATTGTTCTTACAGGCGCCAAGGTGCGACAAATTAAACCCCTTTAAATGTTTGATTCCATATGTTGTTTTGAATGTTCACTTTAATCATGGTCTATCTTGTCCTTTCAGGTTAGAGAAGAAACTTATACTGCATTTGAGAACATATATCCGGTCCTTACTGAATTTAGAAAGAATCAGCAGTGGTACGCCTCGCTCTATTAATTTTACTTGCAGTTTTTTCCTTTTATGATGGGTATGAACCTTTTTCATGCAATCTCATGGTGAAGCAAGCATATGGCTACACATTCTCGTAAAGAGGAGTTTCTGTTCCTATTTCTATTTGCAATCGCAAATACAAGTAGGTCGTTTGTGTTTTCAACACGAAAAACAATGGGGCAGGTTTTCGGCTTTCCTCAATCCCCGATGGGCATAATCAAATGAGAATTTGAAGGTGAAAATCAGTTAATGTGAAACAAAAGTGTTGCTTCACATTGTGAAATAAACAATACATGTCAAAAAGTTTCATACTGTGAAGCAAATACATGTAAAACAGTACTTTAAATCCTAGTCTTAAATGAAACAATAGTTGAGATAGGTTAACATATCTTTTTAACACTTTTGTGGTTCTCATATAATTATACCCCTATTCCTAGCCATTTACTGAAACATATGCACATGTTTTGCTTCACATGTGAAACAATTTTGTCTGTTTAATATATAAAATAACAGTTTGATTCACATGTGAAACTGGTTTACATGGTTCTAGTTCTTGATTAATTGGCCGATATATATATATATATATATATATAGGTGGTTTTATTTACAAACCCAACTGTTGGTACAAACCATACAAGCCAATTTGAACCGTCTATCTAGTCTAATGGACATCTCGGTTGTTTCCTAATATAAAGCGTTTGATCATAATAAATGAACCCTAATGATTTTCCATAATATCTCAATTAATTGGTTTGTATGGTATGTACTAATGGTTGAGTTTGTAAATGAAACCGCACACATATATATAGGGAAGAGTTCAAAAGAGGACACCTATTTTTACGAGAATGCGAGAACGCCCTTTTACTATAGCCAATTACATGTGATACTATATATTTTTATGACATATAATACACGTATGATACTAAATCAAAGACGCAAATGACCTGTGGAGCGACCTAGGTTGCGGGCCAAGTCCATCACATGTGATATTTAATGGGAGATGCAAACAACCTTTGGCACAACCTAGGTCGCATGACATGTCAACACCACCAAGTCCCCTCAGATGTGATAAGGGTGTTCTAGCATTTTCGTAAAATGGAGGTGTTATCATTTGAACCTCCACCTATGTGTGTGTGTGTATATATATATATATACATATATATATACATACACATATTGTCGGTTCAAATGAGAAGGCGGCCAATTTGCGAGAAGATGAGAAGTTCCAAGTCACATGTGATAGAAACATGTTGCGTTGATCGGCCATGCGACTTCTCTGCGACCTTAGTCGCATTGACCAAGTTGCCCGCATTCCTTTTGGACATGTTGTATCACATGTGATTAACTTCACGCCTTCTCGCAATTGACTCTCTTCTCGCATAATCCTGCCTATGTATAATATATATATAACATGATATGATATTTGTGGCCCTGAAACTAGAAAGAATGTGTTGTTTTGGTGCAGATCGTTGAAATGGTGATTTATGAGGGATGAAGTTAACTTAAAAGGTTTGTTGGCATGGCATGGGAGTTGGTTGTTAAGGGGCAAATGTAAATATGGTTAGTAGTGGAAATAGAAGGGAAGAACTGAAGGCAAATGCACACCCACTTTTCCTTCTTCTTCTTTTTTCCTTGCAATGACATCACATGAAAGGCCATATGATTGGAAGGAACATCTTTTTGATTGCTGTTTGTTGGATATCAAACAGTTAATAAGACTATTTTATAGTTCGTTTTGGATATTATTCTTTATATCAAGGGAATTATCAAAAATGATATAACGATATAATAACCTTGGTGAGATTTGAACCTTTGACTTCTAAAAAAAGTATTGTTACTGGAACTGCTAGGTCAAAGACCCTTTTGTTTAAATATCTAGAAACCTTCTAACCATGTTAATTTCACGAGAGATGGATCGTATTAATTTTGATTATATACATATATAGGAAAGTTTATTTAGGAACTTTAAATATTTTATAAACCTAAAAAACCACTTATTTTGCCAGTATTCATGATAAATAACATGGTAAAATATTTATGACCGATATACCAGATATTCCCGATCATGAATGTTCATAAAATAAATGGTTCAATGATTCTTAAAATATTTAAAGTTCTTCAATCAACTATATATATTATGGTAATGCGAGAACACTTCTAAGCCTCCAAATTATATGACTCAATTAAAATTAGAATAAATGAATATAAATTATTAAGCATACTAATGTAGTTATGTATTTATCAGCAATTTTATGTTATCTTAACATAGATAACCATATGGTTGATGTTAATCCTATCAGTATTTTGGGACATCCGATTTCAGGTTTTATGCCTCTGTTGTCAATAATGATATGATAGTAATGTGAGATTGCTATGATCATGATGTAATAATGTTGTGCTAAACAAATTATTCTTATGATGTGATTTTGCTGTAATAATAATGTGATTTTGTTATAATCATGATGTGATAATGTTGTGATAAATCAAAAACTTCTTATGATGCGATTTGGCATCGATATTGATGTGATTTTGTTGTGATAATGATGTGATTTTGTTGTAATAATGTTGTTATAAATCAAAGACTTCTTATGTCGATACTTCCATTGTCAATATTCCATTCTCTATCAACTTCGATTGAAAGTTATTTGACAATTGTTTTGCCGTTTTGAATTTTGGTCGACGACAATAGTCCTCAATCTTGTAAAAGTGACGGTTCAAATGATAACCAGTGATGATCACGTCCATGATCATCGGACATGTCTGTTCATTATATGATTTGCAGGTTTTTCCATTTTACTCATGCATGTCTCGATATTCTAAAATGGGGTAAATATTTATTTAATATTTTACCGCTCCTTCAATTCTTCTAAGAATGTGAATTAAAACAGAATTTTGGGTCTATGACGCATTTGCGTAAATCACAAGTTTTCTCGTTTGAACCATTTCACACACACACACACATACAGAGAGAGTGAGTGAGTGATCAAATGCAAATCATCCCTATTTTTATAAAGAGTATAAAACCATCATCTTTCGTTGGTTTCATTTTTTAGTTTATTGAAATTGTTTCATGAAATATTTAATTTGATGAATTTGTTTCATGAAATTGTTTAATCCGATAAAATTGTCATATATGGTTGTTTCCATATAAGAATGAAATTATTTCATATATTTCTTTAAAATTAATATAATAAAGATGATAATATTTACAATTAACATTCATTCACTATAAAAATGATTTATCAACCTCTTTTATATATATATATATATATATATATATATATATATATATATATATATATAT